GAAGAGTTAAGACAGCTTACATTAGTGGATGTAGTGAACAGGATATTAACAATCTCTATAGCAATGAAGAATTAATACAGCTTACGTTAGTGGATGTACTGAACAGGATATTAAGAATCTCTATGGCAGTGAAGAGTTAAGACAGCTTACATTAGTGGATGTAGTGAACAGGATATTAACAATCTCTATAGCAATGAAGAATTAATACAGCTTACGTTAGTGGATGTAGTGAACAGGATATTAACAATCTCTATAGCAGTGATGAGTAAAGACAGCTTACATTAGTGGATGTGGTGAACAGGATATTAACAATCTCTATGGCAGTGATGAGTTAATACAGCTTACATTAGTGGATGTAGTGAACAGGATATTAAGAATCTCTATAGCAGTGAAGAGTTAAGACAGCTTACGTTAGTGCATGTGGTGAACAGGATATTAACAATCTCTATAGCAGTGATGAGTTAAGACAGCTTACATTAGTGGATGTAGTGAACAGGATATTAACAATATCTATAGCAGTGAAGAGTTAAGACAGATTACACTAGTGGATGTAGTGAACAGGATATTAAGAATCTCTATAGCAGTGAAGAGTTAAGACAGCTTACATTAGTGGATGTAGTGAACAGGATATTAACAATCTCTATAGCAGTGAAAAGTTAAGACAGCTTACATTAGTGGATGTAGTGAACATGATATTAACAATCTCTATAGCAGTGATGAGTTAAGACAGCTTACATTAGTGGATGTAGTGAACAGGATATTAACAATCTCTATAGCAGTGAAGAGTTAATACAGCTTACATTAGTGGATGTAGTGAACAGGATACTAACAATCTCTATAGCAGTGATGAGTTAAGACAGCTTACATTAGTGGATGTAGTGAACAGGATATTAACAATTTCTATAGCAGTGATGAGTTAAGACAGCTTACATTAGTGGATGTAGTGAATAGGATATTAACAATCTCTATAGTTAGTGGATGTAGTGAACAGGATATTAACAATCTCTATAGCAGTGATGAGTTAATACAGCTTACATTAGTGGATGTAGTGAACAGGATATTAAGAATCTCTATAGCAGTGAAGAGTTAAGACAGCTTACATTAGTGGATGTAGTGAACAGGATATTAACAATCTCTATAGCAGTGATTAGTTAATACAGCTAACATTAGTGGATGTAGTGAACAGGATATTAACAATCTCTATAGCAGTAAATGGTTTTAAGACAGCTTACATTAGTGGATGTAGTGAACAGGATATTAAGAATCTCTATAGCAGTGAAGAGTTAAGACAGCTTACATTAGTGGATGTAGTGAACAGGATATTAACAATCTCTATAGCAGTGATAAGTTAATACAGCTTACATTAGTGGATGTCGTGAACAGGATATTAAGAATCTCTAATACAGTGAAGAGTTAAGACAGCTTACATTAGTGGATGTAGTGAACAGAACATTAAGAATCTCTATAGCAGTGAATAGTTAATACAGCTTACATTAGTGGATGTAGTGAACAGGATATTAACAATCTCTATAGCAGTAACTGGTTTTAAGGCAGCTTACATTAGTGGATGTAGTGAACAGGATATTAACAATCTTTATAGCAGTGATAAGTTAATACAGCTTACATTAGTGGATGTCGTAAACAGGATATTGAGAATCTCTATGGCAGTGAAGAGTTAAGACAGCTTACATTAGTGGATGTAGTGAACAGGATATTAACAATCTCTATAGCAGTAAATGGTTTTAAGACAGCTTACATTAGTGGATGTAGTGAACAGGATATTAAGAATCTCTATAGCAGTGAAGAGTTAAGACAGCTTACATTAGTGGATGTAGTGAACAGGATATTAACAATCTCTATAGCAGTAAATGGTTTTAAGACAGTTTAC